CCCGAGAACGTCCTGAATGTTCTGTGAAGGTCCTCCAAATAACGTCCCCCAACCCTTTAAAGAACTCGACATCGTGACCGTCTCAGAACGTTCTGGGGACGTAACTAGGCAACGTCCTTGACACCAGCGGCGACGTTCTGAGGACGTTCTGGGAACATAAAATTTCTACCGGGGTAACCACTGTCAGTTTTCCACACTTTTCTTCATGCCACAAGGACATAAGCAACAGAGAAATCATGAGATGGATGTGAAACATGGATAATAGCCTATATGAGTTGTATTTAAGTCCTCACAGCTAGCTAGATGCTATTGCACTTTACTGATTATTACAATTAATTTTATTGTTTACTTTAACTTTTCTGGTACATTCATTCTTTTGTAAGCTGCACTCAAAAGTTAAATTGTCTCTTGTGTCTGTTAATTTATGTAAAAGCTAAACAGATATGTGTGTAATGTGATCACATTAAAATTAATGTATAAAGTTGTAGGTCAACAAGCCAAAATTGCATTTGAACTTAATTCAGTAAACTTGTTGATCTTTATTATATGCACCTACCAAAGGTGTACTAAAATGTCATGTGTTATAAAGAACAGAGCTGGGTAGTAACTGATTACATTTTTAGTTGAATTATCACTCAGTAGGTTATTTAACCATATATTACTATGTCTTTGGAGTGCTTTTGTCTTTCAAACAAATTAAAAAGCACAAATGCAGGTTATTTCTTATTTACATGTAATGCAGGCATTCACAAACTTTTTTTTTTTCATATTAACCTCTTTCACCTAATATGTTTACTTGAAGTACCCCTTTGATTTTAAAATAAACATTTTAATAATATTGACGTGTTCACGTTTCTCTGACGCTGGTTAATGGTCACATGACATGCAGGTAAATAAAATATTTCAATTTTTTTGTAAGTGTTTTATTTTGATTGATGGTACTTTAAAATGATTTATTTTAATTGTACATTTTTATGATTTATTAGCGTTTCTTTAAACTCACGAACACCCTTTTCATGACTTTACAATTTAAACGTATTTCTGTGTATGTGTGCTAATTTCATCATTTTGTTAGTATTGTATTTTATTATCGTTGTTATGGTTTGTCTAAATTGAAAGTCGTGTAGTGATGGGAGAAACGACCCTTTTCGAAGCTTTGAATCAATTGATTCGCTGTTTCGAAGTGCTCGAAACACCACACGCTGGTGACGCCTGCTGGTCAAAACTGTGTATATGCAACAAAAACTCAGGCCAAAGCATGACTAAAAATAGCTTTTACAAACCCATTGCAAATGTTCTCTTGAAAGTATAATACATTAAATGCAACTGAAATAATAAAATACAATTAAATATGAAGTGTCTGTGTAATATGTTTTTAATAATTATTATTCATTTGCTTGTTTTGTTTGTTTTATGGAGAGCTTGTCTAAAAACAGGCCTGTAAGAGGTTATTAACTACTACTCATTCTTTTAATTACACACAAGTCTCATTAAAAATGTCTACAAATTGATCAAACTGATCTGAGATCATAATAATAAATGCATGGATAATCATAATTGACACACACACTGTATGCTGTTTATTTTCTGCAGATTGAGGGGTTGTGGTATCAGTCATGAAGGTTGTGCAGCTCTAGCTTCAGCTCGGAGATCAAACCCCTCACACCTGAGAGAACGGGATCTGTCTGGAAATACATTTGGAGACATAGGATTACGGAGGTTATCTGTTGATCTGGGGAATTCTGACTGTAATCTTGAGATACTCAAGCAAGATCACCACCGTCAAGTAAGTCCTTTATTTCAAAGCTAGGGACAGAAATTTATGTAATTCTCTCAGCAGGTTAGACCGTAACATCACTAAGGGTTGTGCTGCTCTGCGTTCAGCTTTGAAATCAAACCCCTCACACCTGAGAGAACTGGATCTACTGTACCAGCAGAAGGCAACATAATTTAATGAAGACCAACACTAATAGTAATTTGAGAATCAACTGAAAACTCATCTCTTCCATGAGCATCTAACTGCCTCCTCATAAAAAAAATTATACCTTCACTTTTTCTATTCTCTTATTACCCTTTATCCCTTCCTGTCCTCGCTTTTACTATGTTGAGCGATGACTGAACCCTTGTATAACGGGCACTTCTCGTGTTTATTGCCGTCTTATGGTAGATTGCTTGTTGTTTTCCTCAACTGTAAGTCGCTTTGGATAAAAGTGTCTGCCAAATGAATAAATGTAAATGTAAGAATCATCTGATCAGTTCTTTACCAGTGGGGAGGGCATAAATCTGCAAATGAGTGGACCTTGCTAAAATAGGGTGGACCTCTTTCATCTGAATCAGTTCTTTACCAGTGGGGAGGGCATAAATCTGCAAATGAGTGGACCTTGCTAAAATAGGGTGGACCTCTATTCTGTGTACAACTATGGCTTGTCAACATCTTTAAAATCTTGGCCTTTAATGTATGAGTTTAAAGCACAACGTTAAATTTTGAGGACAATTTTTGCACTTTCTCCTTTTATTTGTGCACCTTTAGTTTACCATATATCTATACAATTTACTCATTCATTAATTTAGTAAATGTGATTGTGGCTCATTGCGGAATGGATCAATTCTTTTGGAATCAACACATCTGACTGTTCTTTGAACGTTGTAAAATATATGGCTCAATAAAACAGCAGCAATAAGGGAACAAAGTTCAGCTGTTCTCTGTAAACAAGTTATACTGGGCAACGCAAAAACGTCTCTGAAAAATACTTGTACCATTAACTGTATATAACTGCGGTTAATGCATTATTTTAAAGGACTGAACCAGACATTTACCCATTAAAGAAGAATTTTGGAAGAAGAATTTCAGTGTCATCATGAATCCAAGCAGTTCACATAGCTCCTCAGGTTAGTGTGATAAATATTGATTATTGCACGGTTTGAACTTACTTTACTCTAGAAATAAGAGCTGCACAATATTTATCATTGCCCTTGGTTTTGTAATCATGATTAATAATGCTGGTTAATTTACATTTAAATGCTTTTTGGATTCCATATTTTTCATGTATAGAGTACACATCCAAAACAAGCTGAGAACTGTTTCGTTTATTCCTGTTTTATGCATAAGCATATCAAGACTTAATGTCATCTAAGCAGCTTGAAAAACAAACTGTATAAATTATATAAAGAAAGTTTATAAATAACACTCCCTGTATCACATTATCTGTAACTTACGCCGTGAATCATTTCAGTTCAGCTAGAACTGAAACGAAATAGAAACCATTGAAGCAATGGGAGTAGATCGAAATAGAATGTTATAATCAACAGGATTAGTTATCACGGCAGCCATGATTGTAATGGCATTATTGTAACAATTAATTGTGTAGCCCTACTAGAAATGCCATAAACAGCTTGGTTCCATCTAGACCTTTTATTTAATAAAGTACATACTCGCATACCTCTGCTTCGATTTTCTCTTAACAGAGCTGAGGATTCTCCTTTTGGGTCCAAAACTTGCGGAGAAAAGTTCAGTAGGAAACACTATCCTGGGCAAAAAGGAGTTTGACTTGAAGAAGACTTTGCAATGTGTGGGGAAGCACAGTGAAAGAGCTGCCACAAAGATCACCGTGGTTGATACTCCAGGCTGGTGGAGAAATTTACCCTTTGAAGAAAACCCTGAACTGTACAAACAGGAAATTGTCCTGAGTGTAACAAAATGTCCTCCTGGACCTCATGTTCTGCTGCTGGTCTTAAATGTAGACACACCGTTTAAACAAAATGAAAAAGACATTCTATGTGGTAACATGAAATGTTTTGGTGAGGAAGTGTGGAGGCACACAATAGTGCTGTTCACCTGTGAAGATCATCATACAACCACTCAACAATTTATTGAGAATGAAAACCTCCAGAGGCTCATTGAGAAATGTGGGAACAGATATCATGAGCTCGATACTAAAAACTGGGGTGATGGATCTCAGGTCACAGAACTGCTTAAGAAAATACAGGAGATGGTGGAAGGAAACAGAGGTGGACATTATGAAATAAACAGAAAGACTCTGCAGCAGGTGGAGGAGAAGAGGAGAGAACAGGAAAAGAGAGCAAACGAAAGAAGGATCAAAAATCTACAACTGAAAGATGAGACAACAACAACCGGTGAGCTTTTTTATATCTCTCTATATTGATTGTATTTTTAACCAGAGACAGTTTAAGGGGAGAAAGAACCAGACCCTTTATATAATGAATAAGAGAAATTGTAACACAAAATGGCACATCTAAGAATAGAATAGAATGGAATAGAATAGTCCCACTTTTCAGTTAAATGAGCCAATCAAAACCTGATCTAGAGTTTACTCTAGAACACTCAACACATTAACAGGGTCTGCCAGTTTTTAGCAGATTTGTACTAAAGAAACTATTTTGTTTCACCATTGTTGTCATAGTATTTGTTACGTTTCAAATATTATTGAAACATAATCTTGACTAACAGTTTTAGAGATTTCAGTCTTTCCCTGTTTAAGTAAATAGCTGCTTTGCTTAGATGCCTGCATAGGCTGCCTGAAAACATTACTTATACAGGCAGCCATCTAGTGGACTAATTTGACTTTAAGGGACTTTAACCTCTAATTATGCTGTATAGCCTGCTCTATTTTATAACACAACAATCTTCCTTCTGCACAGAGATACCTTCATATTACTGGAGGTAATTAAAAAAACTGAGCTCAAAGTAATGAATAATAAAATATGTATGTCTGCCTGCAGAAAATAAGCATCCCCTCTCAGAGCTTAGGATGGTGCTGCTGGGTTATAATGGATCTGGGAAGAGTTCAGCAGGAAACACCATCCTGGGCAAATCTGCATTTTTTGATTCCAAAAGATCACTTACATCTGCAGTACGAGAAGGAGATGTTGCAGGAAGACACATCACTATGGTTGACACTCCAGGCCGAAGAAGAAATTACCACTCAAAATATACCCCCAGATTCTATAAAGATGAGATTGTGTTGAGTTCATCTCACTGTCCTCCAGGACCACACGCCTTTCTGCTTGTCATAAGAGTGGACGTTTCTTTCACTGAAGTGTACAGAAAGGCAGTAGAGGAACATATTGCTCTTCTTGGTCTCAAAATCTGGGATCACATGATTGTTCTCTTTACCTTGGGCGACTGGTTGCGAGACACAAGCATTGAGCTGTTCATTGAGAGTGAAGGAGAAGCTCTTCAGTGGATAATAGACAAATGCGGGAACAGGTATCATGTCTTCAACAACAGAAACACAGATGATGGCAATCAAGTGACAGAGCTGTTTGAAAAGATAGAAGAGATGGTTGCAGGAAATGGAGGACGATGTTTTATAATACAGCATCAGAATTTGCAAGAGGTAAAGTCCAAAAGGATGAAAGTTGAGAAATTAGCAAAACAGATGAAGGCTGAAGTTCAAAAAAGAAATGAATTGAGACATTCAACATCAGGTGAGTAAACATTGAAAACACGGTTTTAATGTGGTTACTGACAATATTTACAGTCTGTGCTTTGTCTTTTTTAAGGAGATGCTGAACTTTTTGAAATGAGGTTGGTGTTGCTTGGACCTCACTATTCCGGCATAAGTTCAACAGGGAACACAATTTTGGGAAGGCAAGTATTTGACAGAAGAATCGAAGAGAATCTAAGTAATAATGGGGAAGTGGCCGGGAGGAAGCTCACTGTGGTTTGTACACCCGGTTTTGAGAAAGATTTCCTTATTGGAAAAAGACTTGAGGATGCTAAACGCAACCTTCTGAAAAGTGTAGCAGAACAGTCTTCTGGAACTCATGCTTTCATTTTAGTCCAGAGTGTTGACTGTTCCTTTGCAGAGGAAGAGAAAGGCGCTTTAAAGAAAATCATGGAGCCTCTCGGTGAACAAATCTGGAATCACATATTGGTTCTCTTCACTTTTGGAGATGAACTAGGAGAAACTCCCATAGAGTTATTCATTGCAAGTGAAGGTGATACTCTCCAGTGGCTCATTGAGAAATGTGGGAACAGGTATCATGTTCTCAACACTAAGAACTGGAGTGATGGATCTCAGGTCACAGTACTCCTGGAGAAGATCGAGGAGATGGTGGCAGGAAATAGAGGATGGCATTTTAGACTAGATGAAGATACTTTAGGCTGGGTTGAAAGAACAGTAGCTGTACCCATTAGAAGATCACAGAGTATGGATGATCCAATAAGTTGTAAGTTGTTCTTAAGTTGTTTGCATATTGTGTAATATTTAAAAGATTTGTCTGATTCTGATATTAATTCCTTTCTTTGTAGTTGCTGAAAGATGCAGTTCTTCCTCAGGGATAAGTTCAGCATATGTGTCCCAGAGATCCCAAGAAGCACCTGAAGAGTGGCATTTAGAGTCAAGTTCAAAAATGAGCTCTGGAGTGGAGTCTCTTAGCTCTATTCCTGAGTTTGATTGAGGCCTGGATTAAGATTAAGATACACATTCTCTCTAACATTGTCTTGTTACCTTTATTTAATTAGCTTATACATTTTTATTACCTGTTTAGATCTGTACATAGAGAACAGAGAAGTAACGAAAAGGTTACTTATGTTCAGTAATCGGTAACCTATCAACAATCAAATCTTTTTTTTTTTTTCAAAAAAAAAATTGGGGGGCGGGGAATATTTTTGTGAATATGTCATTTATCAGGCATGCACTGTATACAGTTCTTCAATAAAATATGATTTCAGATTTTGAAAACTTTAAATGGGTATATGGATCTATGTTTTTGAATAAGCTCACCAGACTATTATATGACTGAATGCATGTGTCACTGTGATTGGCTGCTCTAACGACAAACAGCTTTTGCAATTGCACACTTCACCTAGACCGGTAAGACTGGTCTTTACTTTATGTTTTGTACTGTACATGTAACATAGCAATATTAACAGTATAAAATTTTGTTGATAACCGTGTGACTAAACATGTTTTCTCATTATCACGACTGTAAAAATTGCTGTATAACTTAGCATTTAGCTTTTATCTTTAAAGGGGTCATGAACTGAGAAACCAAAATTCCCTTGACATATAAGAGGTCACTGTACTATAAAAACATCCGGTAAGTTTCATAACTCAAAACTTTCTTGTTAGTCTAAAAACAGCTTATATGGAAGCCAGTGCGCCAAAACGACCGCTTGTGGAATGTACCGCTTTATTGGTGCATTCAAGTCATGTCGTATAGATCGTATTTACAAGTTTCCCAAGACTCTCACTCAAATGTACACACACTTCCTGGTCATTCAGATGAGCACTATGCATGAGAAGACCTATGATAAGAACAAGATACAGATATGGTTCTCAAACTGGGTAAACTAGCTTTTTTAGAAGCTGGAGAAACGTAATCTGATTTTCTACGAGGAAGATCTTAGAATTGTACTCAGAATTGTGCTCTCAGATCTTCAGAGAAGAGTCAGGGCTGTTTCAGGGAAAAGTCTACTGTTTTGTTCATCTGAGTGTTCAGGAAAATCTTGCAGCTTTATTTGTGTACCTCTCATTTGTGAATCAAAACATAAATGAATTTGAGCAACCTAGTCTTCTACCCAGCATTCGGACTTGTGTTAAACAAGGTTCAATATATGACCTCCATCAGAGAGCTGTGAAGAAAGCTCTGCAGAGTCCCAGTGGACATCTGGACCTTTTCCTTCGCTTCCTTCTGGGCTTCTCACTGGAGTCCAATCAGATTCTCTTACAAGGCCTACTGATGCAGACAGAAAGCAGCTCTGGCAGCAAAGAGAGAATTGTTAAGTTAATTAAAAAGATGATTGAAGAAAATCCTTCTCCAGAGAAATCAATCAATCTATTCCACTGCCTGAATGAACTGAATGATCATTCCTTAGTGGCGGAAATCAAGCATTATCTAAAATCAGGGTCAAGAATAAATACCAGACTGGCAGCTTCACAGTGGTCAGCAATGGTCTTTGTATTGTTGACCTCAGGGCAAAAACTAGATGTATTTGTTTTAAATGAATACACCGGGACACAAGTATTGCCAGATGAAAGTCTTCAAAGGCTACAGCCGGTGCTTGAAGCATCCAGAACTGCAAAGTATGTTGTGCCAGTAATAACTGTAAATGTTGTGCCAGTAATAATTGTAAAGTTTATGTGTAATACAAATTTGATATAGTATAATATAATGGAATATGTTCCTTTTTAGTCTTTATATTTTTATTTACCTTGCATTAGATTTTGCACAAGATTCTTGCATTATTTCAATTAATGTAGAAGTACTTTTAAAACAGTGTAATCTAAAATATTTGTGCAATTCCAGTAAGTAATCTACCCAACATTATCTATACATACACATGCTGAAATGACTCAAAAAAACCAATTCTATATCATTCCACTAGAGGGAGATGTTCATCAATCTGTGAGAGTTGTAAAACTTAAAATTTCTTACATGAGAACAACCTCACTCTAAAGTGATCATAAGCTGTAAAAAAAACAACAGCTCTCTACAATTAGCAATCATTTATCTGTTTTTATGATGCTGATATTTAGGTATAGAATTTAGTGAATTATGGAGTTATTTGAACCTAGGTGTAATGTTAGACATGACTGGTGACACTCAGTGATGTTTATTGGTTGCAAAGGATTGGCATGATAAGCTATGTAAATAGCTAAGGATGAGCAGGTTAGTTGAATATGTTGGCAACCTTAAGCAGGTGTGAGGAATGTAAAGGTTAGAGGTCATGTTTACATTAATTGTAATCGATATAATCCAGTGTATAGAAAGATAATTTTCAGTATATTATAATTTGAATGAAAATTTATTTAAAAGGCTGCACATAGGAATTCACATGGCTCAATGCAACTAAAACAAATAAATAAAAAATGCAATAAGATATATTTGTTCTTGCAGAATGTTTATAATAGGTAAGCAATATCTAAGTATGAGTACTGGTCAAGTTATAGTCTGGGAAGCGTCACACAAACATAAATGTTTATTGAAGGATTGAATGCGCATCTCTGTGTGTGTGTGTGTGTGTGTGTGTGTGTGTGTGTGTGTGTGTATTTAATCACTAGTAGTCTGTGCCTACGCAAATACCAACAGCTTTGCCCCATCATGATCTCAGTAACATTTATCCCATGGGACTCTCTGTATGTCTTAGGTTTTAATTTTCATTAACAGATAACTTTTTGTTATATATAGGTTGTATTAAAACACTGTCTTCATTTATTTTTGCTACTTTTTAAATGGCTTTTATTTATAGATGAGATGTGGTGGAAATGACATTTGTTTGTAACATGGGTGAAAAAAACAAAATGACCTCCCGTGATGCATGTTTGTAGACTGATAGGCTAAAGTAAACGTGTCTTAAGTAGCTATTTTGAGGGACTGGCGAGGGTCAAAAGTGCATTTGGGCTTGTGCAAGTGTCAGTTCATCTTTTCATATTTGAGTCTATATCTTTATATGGTGAGCGTGATTTCACCAAGTACAACATGTTCCTGGATCAACATCCTTGTTGATCGTGGAACAACATTCCTATCAACCAATTAGAACTGAGGGATAACTTTTCAGGAAATATCTGTTTTAGGCTTACAATCAGGGTTAGGTGCTTCTACACCCTTGTTAATCAGCTATCATTTCACACTGTTTTTAGGAATAAATTATGGGTAGGGTTAAGTTTAGGGGTAGGGATTGGGTTAAGTCTATATTTTTGGAAAGTTATGTTGATCCAGGATTAACAAAAGATGTTGATCCAGGAACATGTCTTACTTGGCAAAATCACGGCGACCATTTTTACATATGTTTATTTATGTAAGTATGTGGTCTGTGCCATGTTTGCTTAAGGTTGATAGTTGATACTAAGCTGCCACTATTGTGCAATAGACTCTTTGCGGCGGTTAAGGATGAACGATTTGATTGACAGCTGAATGGTTAAGGACTGATGATCAAGGCTGCAAATGTCTTTCTGTAACAGCCAATCATTGACTACAATGATGAAGTCCTCTGTTGTACAATGACACTTTCTTGCTCTTTTTGAATGCACTGTTTTATTTATCCATGCAATAGCAGTGTTTGCAAGAATGTAATTGTTTGTATTTGCGAATATGTGGGACGATATCAGCTCTCCAGCTGCGCGAGGGGTCGAGTCATGTGGTCACATCACATTCCAGTCAGACACACTCGCCACGCGACAGCAGCAACATGATCCTCAGAGCGGAACACTACACACACCCACCAACACACACAATAGTTTAACAGCACTCTGTCACGCTTTCTCTGCGCGTTTCATTATATTACAGCGACACCTCTGTGTGTTCTGTGTTGTCACCAAAATCCTCCACCTGCAGAACCTTTGTTTTTTAATCCTCTTTTTAAGCTACAGTATTCATTATCAGGTTCTGTAATTAAAATGTTTTTGAATGCAGGAGTAACTAGAGTTATGGACCTGCTCGATATAACAAGAGGTCAGTGGCGAACGGCTCAGTCACTTGCTGACCACCCTTACCAAAAAGTAGTATACTTTAAGTTTATTTTATTAAGTATACTTAAGTAAAGTTCAAGTATATTTTAAGTATACTTAATGTAGCAAGTATACAAATATCAGTGTACTAGTAGTATACTTGTAAGTGTACTATTTCAATACTCCTTGGGACTAAATTGGCCCACTTTCTAGTATATAAAAGTATACTTTTAAGTATACTTTAAGTATAACAGTAGTAAACTTTAAGTACACAACTAGTTTACAACAATATTTGTAGCTTGTACTGCAACTATATTAAAAGTGAACTTATATGAATACCGATAGTTGTCTAATTAAATACTTGTAGTAGCATTTTTAGTACACTTTGAAGTATAGTCTCAGTAAACTACTAGTTTAGTAGTTTTATACTGCAAGTATACTCGTAAGTTTTCTTTAAGTGAACTTTACATCATACTTTAAGTATACTACTATGTCCCTATTTAGGTATTAATTTGTATATATTTTGTTACATGAATATCTGAACATACAAAACATCAAAAGAACACAATAATAAAAAAATAAATAAACAACATTTTGAACAAAAAGTTGAAAAACAGACTATGAATTGGATTCAGAACGATAATCAAAATGTAGATAGAGTCGATCAACACCCCAAAGCTTGACAGTCATTGTTACCTCTTCATTGGTCGACATTACATCAACTTTACACAGTTTTGATGCTGTTTTATGTCTGATGATCGTGTTACATTACATGTGGAAGCTTCTGTTGTTTCGGTTTCTTCTTCACTTGTGTTTTTTGAAAATTCTGTACAGAAAATGTGTACTAGCGCCCCCTACAGTATAACAATGAAAACACGGATTCTAGGAACACAAGTATAGCTCAAATATATTTAGACTTTTTAAAAGTATAAGTCAAGTATACTTAAATGTCATTTTAAGTATATTTCTGAGAAGTACATAAAGCCCATTTCTGAGAAGTACATAAAAAGTAGACTAAAAGTATACTTTACTATTTTTTTGTTTAAAGGAAGTACACTAATAGCA